TCAATTTCCGAAACTGACAAAATTTTGGAGGTTTCGTTTGTAATTCTTCGTAATTTAAAGTAAAATTTAAGAATCCAACCTAACATGCGTACAATTTTCTTTATGGATGAAAAGTACCTGTAATACCAATTGTCAGGTTTAGAATCTTTGTTAATATGTCTAGAAAATTATGGAATGCTGCATCTCCAGGTAAATTTGTATTTCAATTTAATTAGAACATCTTGGTAGGCATAATTTTATACTTCAATATTGTATACTGTACTATTATGCATATATTATACTTAACAGATGTGTGAATTTACCTCCCAGTAAATTCAGGTGGGAGGAATATGTAGCGAATAGTTTATCCAACAGATGGCAGTATCTGCCAAGCTTCCTTTGGTAATTGTCAATGCGCATGCGCAAGTGGAGTGTAAAAAGAAAGTATGTTATTAAGGAGAATGAGCTTTCGTTAATAATGTTGCTGCGCGTTTTCGAGAGCATTACCCTCTACATCTGACACTTGAATATTTAATTTACGAAGTTCTTTCAACCAAGGACCTTTAGGTATTTTCTTTACATCAGAACAGATAACAGATTCACTTAAACAATGCACACTACATACATATTTATTATCAAGACTACTCAAATGAACTGCATATTTAGAACGCAATTTTTCTTTTGTTGCTACTCCTCCAAATAATTTATGAACTAATTTCACTTCACCAACACTTACATTTTAAAGAATCTGTAACATCTTTCATTAAATAATGCAACCAGAATCAATAATTCCTCTGACTATCCTTTCCCTGGTGCCATTTTTTACCCTTACTATTAATGTTTGTCATAACACATCATAGCTGGATCTGCTAGCCAAAACATTAACCTCATTTTTTGCCATGGACTCTACTTGTTTAGTCTCTTTCAATTGAGAAAGAACGTGTTGAAACATTACTGCCAAATGCCTTATCTGGCAGATTAAACACTTAAACTTAGACTTACAGTTACGAGAGATGTGATTTTTTTCAAGCACAATAGATATACACCCTTCTTAAATATTAAATCGTTTTTATCCTGATATGTAAGATTTTAATATGTAACATTTTCTGTAGAATGTGGTTTATCACAAAATAAACAAGATTCTTCGACTTTCTTAATAGGAGCATTTTCTTTAAATTTGTCTCCTGTATACAAATCATTACAAGTAGGAATATTAGATTCATCGTTAATGCAACTTTTAGATTTTCTACTTTTGTCCCCCCCCCAAAAAAAAGCCGCTAATTTAATTCTCTCTTCGGATATCACTTCATTTTTCAAAAACAGAAGGATAGATTCAAGATCACTCTTACCTTGTTGTGATAAGCTCTCCCTTTCCCTCTCCCACATGCGTAAGATGTCAGGGGGCCAGGCAAGATTCAACTAACGGAAAAATAACACTAGCGTATTTATCTTCAGTCACACCGAGAGAATCCAGAGCACGCAATTTTGTTTCTAAACTGTCGTACAACGATGATAGCGTAAAGTCCTTTTTGGTGCATTATTATTTATCAACACAAGATTCAATAAATCCCGAACGTACACTTTATATAGAATATCTTCACGTCCAAAACGATTCTTTAAATGTTCGATGGACTTTCGGATAATTTTCTTTAGTTGTCGGGAAACTCTGCACTATTTCCCGTGCTTTCGATTTTGGGCAGCAGTAGCCTGGATCAGATATACGAATTTCAAATGATCATCTAGCACTGGATCTTCGTGTATCTTATAAAGGTATTCCAGAAATTCAACCATTGTCGTCGATCACCTGTAAATTCAATAAAATTTATTTTCGGAAGCTTCAAATTCGTTGCCGTTGTTCTTGAATCAACAGTTCTGGTTTCATTTACCGATGCATGAGTCAGCAAATTTTTCTCTAGTTTCACAGTGATTTGCTTCACTTTCATCCTGGCTGCTATTAATTTCTCCTTGTAAGTCTCACATGACTCAAATTCTTTAGTATATTCTTCTTGCGAGACTTCTTTCGATTTTGATAGGAGATCCAATATTTCTTCATCCAACTGTTGTAGTTGAATTCCTTTATCTTCCAGAATTTCCAGGGACGATAATAGAACATCACTGTTCAATTCTGACTCATTCAAATGTCCATGTAGGCTATTATATGCTTTCGTGAAGGCTGCACGCAGTGGTATTCTTCTTACTTTCAAGGCTTCCATTTCTGCTGTTAAACCATCAAAAGTGTCCTTTACCTAACTAATGCGTCCTGTCACGGACGCCACTTTTTATTGTGGTGATCCACGGTTTGAAAATGGTTTCTGAATCAGAAGAGATTCGTGCACTAACCTAGTGCTTCGCATTAGAGAGTAAAGAACATCTATGATATAAAAATATACTTTTATTTACACAGCGAAAACGCGCAGCAACATTATTAACGAAAGCTCATTCTCCTAATAACATACTTCTTTTTACACTCCACTTGCGCATGCGCATTAACAATTACCAAAGGAGCTTGGCAGATACTGCCATCTGTTGGATAAACTATTCGCTACAGCCCCCATGGGGGAATTTCCTTGTTGAGAGCCCCTGTTTCAGAAGACCGTTAAGGTGAACAAACTCTATACATTGAAATACCTAGTGCACAGAGGCATAGCTAGTGTTTTCAGCGCCCGGGGACAACTGAAGATTTTTGCGCCCCTTTCTGTGTGTCAAGAATGAAAGCATTTCATTTTAAAATTTTGTAACATGAATCTGGCGCCCCCTGGATGCTGCGCAAGGGGACAGATGTCTTCCCTTTCCCCACCCACTGCTAGTGCAACGATGTTCATTATTGCAATCATCTTTATGTTTGTCACTTTTGCTGACAGAGAATATGCGATATTACTTTTTTTTTTTTGCTTATTCTTTCTATCACTGAGCCATCAACAAGCAGCAAAGCTGTAGCAGATTTAGCGTAGAGATACAACGTTTGGAGGAATTCCAAATTAGGAATTAGGCAATGCGCATTATAATCGGAGCTGTTAAAACGACTCTCATTCTGGCTATGCAATTGGTATCGGCAAAACAAACAATGACAAACCTGATTCCGAAAAATGCTTTCATCCTTTTCCAGAGACGTATTTGACACTAAGTAACCCTCATTGGAGGATTATAATAAACAATGAAATCTGAAGACACAGAATGGCTTTCTGCATTCTCTCACCTAGAACAATACAATCATATAAGAACATTGAAACCGGCACTGCTATTTTTGCTAAGTCCTTTGGATTATAGCTTCCTTGATGTGCAGATTTACCTGGAAATGAAAGTAGATAAGAAGGAAATGAGTCCAGTGCAAAAGCTATAGTTTTGCAAACAACTGAGCAAAGTTTTCCGGCTAAGGAATGGATGTATGTATACACGGATGGCTCTCTGACCGATAAGATCCAGGGGGCTGGAGCTGAAGTTTTTAGCAAGCTTTTCAGTTTCTACATACTTGTAGAGGCTTACTCTACACACTTTGATGGAGAACTGAAAGCCATTCGTGTGCCTCTCCAACAATTATCATTGAGACAGAGCTCATTCAGGAGGGCTGCTGTAATGTCTGATTCGACTTCAGCAATACAGGCCATCTCCTCTTACCAAGAGTGTAAGAACATAAGCATTCAACAGTGTCAGGAAGTCATAAAAGAACTTTCCCACATGATATCTTTTCAATGGGTACCTTCACACTGTGGTATTTATGGGAATGAGATGGCTGATATACTTGCGAAAAAGGAGGCTATGGTTCTCCAAAAGTTAAAAATGAGTGCAAGTCTCCATTCTATAAAGTTTCTGACATCGCTAACATATCAAAAGACTTTTAGAGATTTTGCCACTCGGGATTGTGATGGCAAGCCTTGGAGTGTTGTCTCAAGAAACCTAGCTTTTCGTTCCTGATCCCCCGCGAACAGTTGCCGTTGCATCTTTTAGACTATTTACGGGACATGACTGTCCATAGAATCATTTATTTTGCATTGGACTAAATGATTCACCATTTATGTAATAGTGGATGGCCAATGGCGGTGGAACATTTGGACGAGTGTGAAGCACTGAGAAATTTTTCTTGAAGATTTCAGCGCTATTGGAAACCAAGGAGTTTAATGGCCTAACGTCCAATGTAACTGGCATTTGAGAAATAAAAATAAATTCTATCACAGATAAACCAATTTTTGTGATTCTGAAACAGCTGGGGGAAAAGACCATTGAGGTGGCTGTGGTATGCTTGCATAGGGAGGTACTATGATGAACAGACAGACAGAGCTTCACATTTTCAACAGTAGTTCACTTACCAGAGATTGTTACTGTGATGAAGTTATCATAACCCGCGTGCATCTTTCTGAGTGCCGATGGTCCCAACTTTCTTTTATAGATGACAATGCACGTACACACGTGACTCGTGCTGTTGCGGAGCTTCTACAGTGTAAAGATATCCACATCATGGATTGGCTAATATGCTCCCTTGATTTAAATACAATTGAACACATGTGGGATACTTTAGAGAGATTCCTGGTGGTACAAACAGACCCTACAGAGAACACCAGATGACCAGACAACTGAAGCATACCCTCTTTGAAGAATGAGGACTCTTATTTCAAGAATTGTTAGATAGTTTGTTGCTGAGTATTGGCAGATGGTGCAACACTGCTATTACAATTAGAGGAAGTCCTAGCTCTTACTGAGGGCCTCTGCTTTATTGTTCTACCTCTTGGCCAGAGAATTTTTGTACCAATGCCATTCTATCAATAAAGCCTTTTACTTTTCATTACGTACTGTATGTGCCCTATTAATTTTTTTGCTACTATACTTTCCTTATATTTTAAGTACTATATTGTGACTGTCTAGTATGACTTCCAAGTCTTCTGGTTGAGTTTTTGTAGAATTATAGTCAAAAACACAAAAATTGCTTAAGTTTGCATACTAGTTTATGCATAATATAATATATAGTGATAAGGCCTTTTTTAACAAGATAATTTCTAATCTAAATAAATACAAATAGAAAAACTTACTGAATAATAGCTGCACGCTCAAAAAACTTTATTGCTTCTTCAAACATCTGAGATTCAATAAAATAGGAACCTAATTTTTGTATGATTTCCATATTTGAAGGAAAATATCTGTAAGACTAAATTATTTAAATTAATTATTTTAGAAGGAAAAGTAAATTAGAAATAATTGATAATTATTAAAAATTTTAAACATATTATGATTAAATTTGTGCAGCCATATGTATCATGTAGTATTAAAATTAAAAAAAACCTACAAAATATGGTTAAGATAGATTAGCCTTATATTAAGTTATATTCATAATATTTTAAAATGAAAAAGTTTTTTTTTTTTTTTTTTTTTTTTTTTTTTTAGATTTTGATGTTTAATACTATTCATTGGAATTTTTAAACTTACATTTAAACCATTTTCATCATTTGAAAGATTTTTTTCCTTTAATGATAGTTGCATAATCAGAAAGTTTAATGAAATAAATCATGAAATTTTACTTAAAAAGTTAAAAATACCTTGAAAGATATCTGTTGTTTTATAAATTTTTCTCTTTTCAAAGGGAAAAAAAACCATTAGTACATAAAAATTAAACATTTTATGTAAATAAAACCTTTTTTTTTCTTTTATTACAGCTTATTTACAAACATTTTTTTAAAATTTCATATGAATTAAGTCTAATATATCATTTAATTAAGACTAATCATATATATACATATATATTTATATTAAATTTCAAATAATATAAACAAACATCATTCATATAAATTAACATTTCAGAAATATCTTAAGTGTAAATTATTAAATAGTTATAAATAAAATATGAAATAATCTGAAGATCTGCAATAACAAAGTAAATTACAAAAATTTATTACGTATTCATACTTTAATTATAAAAAGAATCTGATAACTTCTAAACTTCAGAAAAATGTTACCATACTTTAGAGTTAATTTGGTAAATCAGAAGTTACTGATGTGTAAAATTATTAACTTGATCTACACAAGATCAAGTTATAGATACAAATATTATTTAAACAAATTTAATAATTAAATATATTTATATTGTATTACCTTCATGGTTGAAAATTATTAATTTCATTTGATTACAAATTTTATATACTAGATTTCTGTGATTAAAAGAATTCATTTAAATATGTGAAGGAGAAAAAATGAGATCATACCTAAATTATTGTGGATTTTTTGGGAGAAGGTTATTTCCTCCGATTTCTACTTAAAGTTAGCTTATATTTATTAAAAAAGGTCATAAAAATTTTGCTTAATTAGCATAGCCTAATTAAATGATCCTTCAAATTTGTGAAACATGGTTAATATATTAATTACCAAAATTGTAATTTTAAAAAAAATGTAAAACATCATCATCATCAACAACAACAAAAACAAAGGTTTACCTGGAAAGAAATTGTTTAACTGAGCAATTCTGATATTTTTTAACTGTGCATGCATATGCATGCTTATATGCATATTCTTCAGCAACGTGCTAAAACATTAGAAGGGAAGAGAAAGAATGTTTTTCTTTTTTCATTTAAATGCATTTTCTGAGACTGTTTTTCATATTTTCTAATATATGAAAAGAAAAGAACAGGGGTTCACTTAAAATATTTTTTATATAAAAATTCTAATTCCTGTTGTTTCCAAACCTTTTTAAATTTCTAAATTGAAATGCTTTTTTTAAACAATATTTCAAACATATCAATTTTGCATAGTACCCATAATTTAAAAAATTATGTATAAAATGTACTCTTACATCTGAATGATACTGAAATGCTTGCTGCTTGTCTCCTTCAGATTCAAACATGTCTCCGATTTTTGCAAGAAGATATGGATCAGTTGCTACTAAAGTAATAACTTGTTGATACCTAAAAATAGATAAAAAATTGCTATCTAAAAACTTTAGTTTACTAACACATCAAATAGTTCATTATCAAGGGTTCAAAAAGTTTAAAAGATATTTTAAAGATGATAAAATATAAAAATCATATAATTAATAACAAATTGCAATTTACTCTTGGTATGCAGATTTCAGTTTAACACCTATTTTAAGCCAAGTAATTTCAGTTCTCCTATTAGTGTAAGAACTAATGCCTCAGAAATCAAACTTACACAAAATCTTATATTTAAAATGAGCTTTACAATGTGGGAAACATTTTTATGATATTATTGCTTTGTAAATTAATGCCACAAGGAGAACTGTGCACTTACTTAATACAGAAAAGAATTACTTAAAGTTGTGAATTTATTCCACTGGATAAGCTGCATAAGAGGTTTGCAATAAATATTTCTCTCAAGTGGTAATATGTTCCTTTTTACCATAATACTAAATCCAATAACTGAAATTAATAAACATCTCTAAGAGTTTTCCTTTGAGATGTTTAAAAATCCTTTTAAAAAAGAGATTTTTTATTTAATTGGCATAAAAAATGTTCTAAATGCTTTTCCTTTCCTCCTAATTGTAATCCTCATATTTATCTCAGTACTCAGTGATTCAGTACCTTAGAAAACCAAAAGTATAAACAATTAAGATTATATACGACATACAGATTATATACAATGATAATTGTATTATACAATATAAATACGTGTATTAAATCAAACATGAACTTTACCAGAAATATGAAGTCCAAAATAGTCAAAATCAGGTTAATAAAGTTGAGTATAATGAAGTACTTAATTAATGAAGTTGAGTATATTGTTTTAACAAATGACATCTATATGTTTAAAGTACAAATTAACTTACCATTCTAGTGCTTGATCTATATCTTCTATTAGCTCATATCTGTATCACAGTATTAAGGAGTAATGAAGAAAGAAAAAAAAATTACTGAGATAGTCAACATAAGATAATTTATATTCACTAAATAATTTTTTAAATGCTGTTGAAACATTTCGTAAATATTTTCTTTTCAAGCTTTGAAAAACTTAGCAAAAATAAATTGTTTAATAATAACCATTTTCAAAACAAAGGATACAAACTGGCTATTTGATATATCACTAAAGGATGATTGCGAACAATGCCATGTAGTTTATAAAATGATTCCAATGCATCCTCTGCGTTATTAAGCTTTTTATATGCAAGACCTATGATGAGAAAGCAAAGAAATTTCCTATAGTTGAAAACATGACTATTTTCATTTATGTTAAATATCATTCATATTTTAATATTCATTATCTTACATAGATGCATTATATTTACATCCATTGCTCATGCACCTGAATTTTTAACTATGAAATAATAATTTTGTTAATCCTAGAGCATGTGTAGGTATGTAAACCAATTAATTCTTTCATAGTTTCCATCTTATATTATTATATTATCTTCCATCTTATATTATTATATCATCTTATATTAATAAGCATTATTACACTGACACTTTAACTCTGTTAGTGCCATATTAAATTCTGTTAATATGAGCAGACTTTGTACTTTCGTAAATGCACAATTCTTTACATATTTTAATAGAAAATATAATATAATTCTTTTTTTGCTGTTTTGCCAGAGCACTTTTCCTTTTGATTACAAAATTATGATATAAAAATATGTAAATTATGGGCACAAATACAGTTTTTTATGATCAATTCTACCATGATTTTCAGAATCATTACAAATCAATGCAAATCCCTTGATTAATTTACAGACCTGAAATTAATACTAAAGACAAGAATATTCCAATGCAGTGGTTTTATTAATAAATCCTCAATTTGATTAATTAAAAGAAAGTAAAAGTATGCATTGTAGTTGAGGCCAACTGCCTGCAGCAATAAACTTTCTCCATTAAAATTCAAAGTTTTTAGCAAATATAATTTTTAGAAGTATTTTTTATAATAATAAATAGTTGATGAATAAATTAAAATGGTATAAAATATTACAAAGCATTGAATTTAGCAGTTCTGGGATATGTCACTTATATTTTATCTATAATGAAGTCATAAGTTTAGTTATAAGACAGGTACTGGCAAATATGGCTCCGCCTAAGGTGTGAGGATGACCCATGTGAGACATTATGGCACTTTTAGAAAGTATCTGTATCTGCTTCATTCAGATATTTGCTTATTTTTAATTATGCTATTGTCTTAAGCTATTTAATATTACTTTAGGAAGCTGAATGTATATAAATGAAAGAACATGAGATTTAGAAAGACAGAAGGCATATCATTGTTTATATATTAATGTCTGTTGCATATTATAGATTATTACATGAAACTGTTATATGCTAATAGTTTATATGCATTAATATACAAGGATTTATAAGCCAATGATCAACTGGATGCAGATTCATATTCATCTGGGAGGGATATTATAAAAAGACTTTAGCATTCTAATAAAGAAAAACCATCAGTTCAAGTAAATGAAGAGTTATCGTTTCTTCTTCAATTTTATTCAAGCACCTTTCAAACTATCATAAATGTTAAAAAATTTTGAAATTCACACATACAAATTTTGCTTTCTGATGAAAATATAAATAAGAATCTTGATTGGAAAGTGTTAAATGCACACATAAATATTCTAAAGAATACTTTTATAATCACTTTAGCAAATAAAGTGTCAAATTTAGCATTAGTGGGTGTATTCTTAATATACATTCACAGTTATTCTTTTTATTTATGTTAGCATTTAAAATAATTTATATTGTATATGTTATTAATGCTAACACTGATATAAATTTATAACATTAATACTAATAAAACAGATCTTCTTATCTTCTAACTACATGCATAGTATTTTTAGAAAGTAATACCCCATTTATAACCCCCCAAAAGAGACTGTTACTTGAGCACAGCCTTTTTATTTTAAGACTACATATGCTATTATTTTGCTCAAGTATCCATAGAACTAAGATGCTTATCATACTAGAAGAAAAGTTTTTGTATATCCTCACACACTTCCACTATCATATCCTACATTTCTCAAAGTACTGAAAGGTCAGTTACAATTAGAAACTGCAATTACAGCTGCTACAATGCAGTGAGCATAAAAAACGCACAAGTAACTGATAAGAAAAGCTTACATATAACTGACACTAAGCAAGCTTAGCTGCCCTCTGCTAAACTTATGTGGACATAGTGTCCTTCCAATGATGAAGTGGTGGACACTATAAGTGTGAGCTTGATGGTGTTTAAAATATGTCTGCTGCCTATGATAAGTACTTCAACATCATGGAAGCCTATGCTGTGTAGTAGGCAGAGTTACATACAGTACCCACTGCATATTAAAATCACTTTCATTCAAACATGAGTTCACTAAGGAGCTGATTTTACATATAGTGATTTGGATATTGCAAATTATGATATCAGTTTTAAACATTTCAAGTAAAATAATACCTAACAACAAATCCAATAATTAATCCTAAAATAATAAATAAAAACAAATCCTAAAATTAAACTACTTATGTAGTTTTTAAATTCATTTTAAAGTTTCTTTTATAAAATATTTTATAATTAGGTTTTTGATGCAGTTACATCTCTTACAAACAACTATTCTACCTTTGTTTGTTTCATACTATTCAACAATGATTTTTCAGTTGTATTCTCAATTTCGTAAAACTGCTGATAGCTTTTTTGATCAATACTTTTCAGTTCAAGAGTTTTTCGTAGAATTTTCTGTGTTTTTCTAGTTTGCCTCTTGATTGGCATGTCATCTTATTTTTCAGTATTTTGCTGCCAATTTCTGCAGTTCTTTTAACACTTTCATAATTAATTTTTACACTTGTTGTCTTAAGTATTGCGAACTGATATATATTTTAAAAATGAATCTTTATAACCCTCAGCTAATGTCTGAAACTTAGCTATAGTTTGTAATTTCTCTGAGAATTCTGCTACATAAAAGCCACATTTTAAACTAATTTTAACAAATTAATCCCCTGAAACGACTATAATATGCTTAGCCTCAAGCAGAGTTTTTAACTTACTTACCTCCTTTGAGATGGTTATATTTTCGCAAAATTCAATTCTGTTCATCAGTTTCCAAACAGCTTTTCTGCAATGACATTTGAAAGCTTTTATAATGTCCTGCTCTAAAGGCTGAATGTCAGAAGCTGTATTTGCAAGAGGCGATACTAAAGTTGAATGGACTATGAAAATGGACACTATGGATGAATTATAAAAACCTATTAAATAGGATGTTCTGACACTGAAGACTCAGTCTTTTGCCAGTCTGAGTTTTATTAGCGGTGGGGATGAGTTTAATAAGCAGTGGTTTATCTGTTAATTAGTATGCATTTGTTTTGGTTCATGGAAATCAAACATAATAAGTGGCTGAATTTATTAAATGGTGAGTTTAATAAACAATAGGCACTGTACTTGCAAAATAAAAAGGTTTTGTTGAATTAATCTCTTTTTTTCTGTTTTTAACATCAAATGAGTAGTACTTTCTAAATATGCCTTGTATACTGAACTAATATTTAGTATAAGAACACTGCTTGTAAAATTTTAATTATGAATTACCAAGATTGTACAATGCTTCAACACAACTTGCTTCATTTGATAAGGCTTCTTTATAAAATTCAACAGCTTTCTCAGTATCTCCTTTAGACAAACAGCAGTTTCCTTTGTTTACAAGAGCTGGTAAAAAATAGAGGGAGAAAGGATCATTTTGCCAAAAAAATAAATTTAAATTTCAGAATGAAGTACATTACTTAATAGTTAACTCAGAGATTCTCAACAAGGAGCAAATTCCTTCTGGAAGTTGAATTTCATACTGTCAGGGAAGGGAATGTGGTTAGTCTTTTATCTAGCTGTTAAGTAAACAGCTTGACTAAATATATACCAAACACAAGGTTGTTTTTCTAATTTTATTTAGATTTAGTTTATGAATATAAAAAATTACTTTTATTCAAGTTTTGGTACTTATCAACATTTTATGTTTAATTTATAAAAACATTTAAAAATAATCTCAGTTGAAATAAATGTATATGTATATTTCGAGTTTTGAAAAAGAGGGGAGTGATTTTCTAGGAATTGGGAAAGGGATGCATGGATCAAAAAAGGTTGAGAACCACTGGTTTAAATACTGAAAATAATCTGAAATTAGCTTTGGCTGGAATCTACACTGAAAAAACATTAAATCGTTTAAAGATTTGCACATAAATTGCATAATAAATCAACTGAAAACAATTTTTGATTTCAGAAAATATATATAAACTAAGTGTGTTTACATAATGTTATAATAAATTTATAACTTGCTATAAAAATATAAAGTACATAAAATTACATATTTTAAAACTTACTAACATATGCTTGTTACACTTAAAAGAACAGTTATGATGTATAACAGTCTTTTTGACAGTTAGTAAAACCTCTCTAAAATTACTAGCCACAGTTCCAGAAGATATGGTATTATGTAAAAGTGACTGATTGCCTTAGAACAGGGATGGGCAAACACCGGCCCACCGGAAGGTTCTATCCGGCCCGCGGATATAATTTTAATTTGCCGGTCCGAGGCAAATTAAAAGAAATATATATTTATATTTCTTTTAATTTACCAATTTTAATTTATCAATCTCCTTTTCTACTTTATTTAAACATTATTTTTTTTTCTTCCTTTTTTTTTTCAAAGGACAGATTATCTTTTTACTTTTTCTATTTTTGTTCTACAAAACGTGGATCGATGGAAATAGCAAGCACAGACAGCTTTCAATCGGTAAAGTGTTAAAAGCGGAAGTTCTTTATTAATTATAGCTGTAGATTGGCGTCAACAAGCGTTATCTCTTTCTCGGAGAGCAGACATATGAGAATCCAATACGTATCTCAGAGCACTACAATCACCACGGCAAACGCCGAACCACCAAGACGTCCCGCACATGCTCGCTCCACTGGCCCAGTTTGAGTTATGCAGCGGCAATAGGGAATGTAACCAAACAGCCAGGATGTGATTCCAGACATCCAGCACTGCCGGTTACTGCCAAAACTAAAGCTGTAACCCCAGCAGTCACTTCAGCAGAGAGTACCGACTCGGACGATATTTTCGCCTCCGCTCTAAAATGCTTGATTGACATCTCCCGCGACCCAGCGGTAGACAAGCATATTATGCTTCTTGCTTTCAAAAAGGCTATGCCAAGGTTTAGGCAGGCCAAGGCTTAATGAAAGCATTCTATATATATGAAAGTTATATTGAACTTTCAGACTGATTCGGCTAAACTTTCGGCCTATGTCTCCTGTTATATTTGCAGAACCTACAATTTACGGCCTAAAATTCAACTCCCAACGTGATATAAGACCTGTCACAAAAAGCTCACTCTCCATTTGCACTTAAAATGCAAATGGTATTTATGATAAGATCCGTGAAGTGAGAGATTTCATTGCAGAGCAAGATCTTGATGTACTTTTGGTCCAAAAGACCCATTTTATCCCAGGGCGAATTCCCAGAATTGGGAACTATGACATATACTCGACTGACAGGGTGTCATATGGCAGACATGCAAGTTGTGGCACCTGTATCTATGTGAAACATTCGATTAAACATCACATGATAACCCCCCCCCAAAATTTGGAACATGTGGAAGCGACTATTATCAAAATTTTTATACAAAATTCTCCCCCTCCTTAGCCCCTTACAATTCTTTCGGCATACCTTCCCCCTCAAGGAGCTGCTCGTGGGAGGAATGTTTTTCCTGTCAGTGATTTTGATAAACTTCTCACAATCTCAAATCACCTAATCATTGCTGGTGATATAAATTCACGCCATACCGCTTGGTTCTGCCCTAATAGGAACAGATTTGGCATTAGTATAAATTCATGGGCTCAGAGCTCCCATGTACAGATCATAGCAACTATTGCCCCGACTTACTACCCTGTAATAGGGTCCCCAGCAGTTCTTGATCTGGCTGCTTTTTATAATGTTTACTTTCGGCATGAAATTAAAATGATTCAATAGTTAGATTCTGATCACTACCCTGTTTTGATTACCCTAGATATTCAAAATCGATACTCAAAATTAGAGGAGCAAGTCTCAACAAATTGGGACGATTTTCGGTTTATTTTGGAACATACAGCTATCAAAATTTCAAATCAAATTTCCAGCAAATCCTATCAAAATTTCCAGCAATGCGGACTTTGACAGGTGTATCAAAAACATGGAGTCTTTACTGAAAGAAGCGAGAGCCACGGCTTCGAAACCTATCATACATCCGGGCGCTAGGCACCCGCCGGATACTAAATCCAAAATTAAGCGGCGCAACTACCTGCGAAAACTTTGGCAGAGAACACGTGATCCCAGTATCCGTGCTCAATTTCGCAGACTACAGAACGAGATTAGGTCTGAAACCCGTTTGCAAAAACAAGCGGAGTGGAAACACTACATTGAGTGCCTAACGACTGACGACGGGTCGGTTTGGCCAAAGCTGCCCCTGAGATAAGCAAACAGGCGGCTTTGGTTTCGCGCACTGCCGCCCGACTACGCAAACAATATAAACACATTCCGCTCCTTGAAATTGCCAATGCTAACCAGATGGCTTTTACAGACACTGAAAAGGCTGAAGTTTATTGCTGACAGCCTTTCTACACAATTCAGTCCAAATAATGACGCCTACTGTAACCGTCCAGTTACACAGTGGCGCATATACTCACGTGTTGAACATTTCTTAACACAACCCATCACGCCTGATCTCAGGCCGACTGATCCAACTTAGGTGCTGGAGTTCATCGATAAAATGAAGCTGAAGAAGGCCCCTGGCATAGATCAAATTTTGAATCGCATGATTAAAAACTTCCCCATTATGTATATTGTATGGATTACGGTCTTGATTAACCTTATGCTTAAAAGGTGTTACTTCCCTGACTGTTGGAAAATTGCTGCAGTCATTCCTATTCCAAAACCGGGTCAAAATTTAAATCTCCCCGTCAACTACAGGCCTATTAGCCTCTTATCATCTCTCTCAAAAATATATGAATTTGTTTTACTTAAACGCCTGAATGACTTCTGCCGTGATCGAAACTTAATAATCCCGGAACAATTTGGCTTCCGGTCTGAACACTCCACGGTACACCAGTTACTCCGTGTGGTGGAATTCATATACGAGGGCTTTCGTAAACGAGAGAAAACTGGAATTGTCTATCTTGACATTGACAAGGCCTTTGACAGGACGGGCTTATTTACAAGTTCATGCGGCTTGGTTTTCCGGCACAACTCATTAAAACTATCAACTCGTGCTGACGGGTAGATCCTTTCGGGTGCGAGTTTGCCATAAATACTAAACTCCCCGCCCGATCTGTGCTGGGGTCCCACAAAGAAGCTTGCTCGGACATCAAATGCTCAACATCTACCGTAATTTCTGCACTGCAGAATTATCTTTCAAGCCTAGAGCTCTGGCTCGGATTGTGAAAGATCAAAATTAATGTCGCTAAATGTGCTGCCACTTTATTTATCCGAAGTACTTTCCCAAATTTACCTAACTTGCAGTTCTTCGGAGAACCAATTCCCTGGGTTCCTACCTATAAGTATCTAGGAGTGATACTTGACAAAATTAACTTGGCAACTTCACATTTAAAAAATAATTTCCAATGCGAAGGTTGTCAAAACCCAATTACTGCCTTTTTTCGCTAGAAATAGCGACCTGTCCACGAAAAACAGGATTTTGCTCTTTAAATAAATGATAAGGCCAATTCTGACATATGCTAGCCCGGTATGGGGCACAACAGTAATTACTAGCAGGAAACATATCCAAATTTTTCAGAACATTATGCTACGGCAAATTTATAAAGCCCCTTGGTTTGCTACGAACGAGGACATTCATAATGCAGCCAAAATTCTCCCCATAAATCGCTTTATACAGCGACTTTCGGCTAACTTTTTCCAAAAGATTCCTTCGATCGGAAACCCCGTACGCCACAGCCTCCCTGTTTATCATCCGGGAATTGCATCGTCAAAAAAAGAGACCCAGAGCTATTCTGGAGAACGCATATAATGCGCTTCCTTTTCCTAAGAGGCGTTGCTATGGAGACGAGGCGCCTCGAAGGTTTCAATACACTCGTTCGCCTCCCCCCCCGTCGGAGTGAATTCGCTGATCTTTCAGTTTCCCTCAGGGTCATTCTCTCTTTGTCCCGTAATCGAGCAATCTTACTTCTTTCAACCGTAAGCGGTTGTTATCAGGCTCTAAGCACATCTTTGTTCCCTTCTTAAAAGGGTTCTAGTGCAAGAATTACTTAATTTAAATTTAATCTCTTAAAGAGAATTTAATGCCTTTTCATTAGTTATCATAACAGTTAAAGTTAATGCAATCTTATTATACATATAAAAGTTTCTCAGAGGTATCGTTGGCCGTGTCTTTTTAATTCAAACTCGCCTAACGAGTTCCAGCTTTTCTCCTCCCCTAGACCCGAAGCACTTGCGACATGAAGTTTTTCGCCGAGCGTTTCCGATCTCGTGTTGTTAACACCACATGACCATTGATCAAGGAAACATTGATGCTTTTCAAAATTCATGATGTAACCCCTCCAAATTGATTCTGGCCCTTATTCGACACCAAAATTATTAAATTAAGTCCTTCAGTGTTTTTACCATTTTTTTACTGTGGAAGGCAGTTACTCTTTTTGTTAAATTAACATTTTGGCACTAAATTTACCTC